AGGTCAATGGTCTAACGACTACGGCATGCACGACTATGAGTACCCCCCCACACACACACACCATGCGAGGTCAATGGTCCAACGACGACGGCATGCACGACTATGAAGACCCCCCCCCGTAACTCTCGTGACGGTTTCGCCCTAGGGATGTGCACAAGGACGACGGCCTTGCGCACTACGCCAGGGCGTGCACTGACATCACGTTCAAGTTCCCCTTCGGGGAGTCGGAGCTGCAGGTGCGGTGGGATACTTGCCGTTTGGGAGGGGGTGCGGTGTGTGGGCTGTGCTGATAGCCCATATGTTTTTGTTGCGCCTCAAGACTGCGTCAAGCGACTTTGGATCACGTGCTCAGGTTTTGCGGTAAATGTTGCATGGCGGATGGGTAGTGAAGGGACATTGCTGTTGTCATTCAGCACTGCTGTCGTTATGGACAGGGGCCACCACGAGACGTGCATTTCCGAAATTCGTTGGATCGCCCTGGGCTGTTACGCATATCGAACCAACACACAACACACGTTCGAGTCCCGACAGAGTGAGCTTTTTCTCGCTAATTAAATCCTGGTCTCCGTTTGAAGCGACGCGCTGCAAAGCGCGTTGTTAGTAAACTTGATCGACTTCATAAGTCGCGAGGGAAGGGATTGCTGTACCCTCCTCGCGATAAAAATATCTCAGGCAGGAACCGCAGGAGGGGGTCCAACCTCCCCCTTCTATGTGACCCCATTTGGGTCGTCTAGCTGGAAGAAGTGGAGGATAGGGGCCAGAGGGGCAGACGACAAAATCCAATGATGGGAGACAAAAAAAAAAAAGAAACACGCACGCGCGTATGATGTGGCTCTCATTCGACCGCAAGCAGCCCCCCCCCTAACGAATGCGCGCTCACAACCTCACGTCACCCCCCCCCATGTAAGGCTACGTCCTCTTGAGGACGCGTGGTCAATGGTCTAACAGCTAAGGCATGGAAAACGTAAAGAGTACACCTCCCCCTGTAACGCCCACAGGGCGTCGCGGCGCGAGGGTGCTACGACCTGACCCAGCACCAGGAGGCGAGCGGCAAGTCGATGGAGTACTTTGACGAGAGGAGCAAGACCAAGTACGTGCCGCACGTCATCGAGCCGTCGCTGGGGGTGGACCGCCTCTTCCTGGCGGTGATGGTGTCTGCGTACCACGAGGACGAGGTATGCATACGTACGTACGTCAAGGACGGCAGCAGCAGCAGCAGCAGCAGCAGCAGCAGCAGCAGAAGCAAGTAATAGCAGCAGGTGGCGTAGTCTATCAAGAGCATGGGAGAACAGCAGCAGCCGCAGGAGCAGCTGTGCGAGTGGTGTTGTGGTGTGCTGCTGTAGCGTAGTCTCAATCCAGCTGAGCGCGGGAGAACAATAGTCGCTCAATGTTTCCCGCAGACATAAAAGTGTAGACAAGCAAACAGCAGCAGCAGCAGCTGTGTGTTGTAGCCAAACCCACTGAGCGTTGGAGACAAGCACTCAGTCAATAGTGACTCTCGGGAGTGATTTTTTTCGCCGGGGGTACGTACGTGAGCGGTTGCGCCTTTCGTTGTCAAGGCGTTGGCGCACTGGGTAAATGAAAGCACATCGATCACGTCTCGCGGTTGGCGTCTTCTGAGCGTGCGTCAAGGCGAAAATGCCGATCACCCGGCAAGACGACCGAGTGAGTGACGTCTAATTTAGCGATTCACCTCGAACCCCTGGCCCCCAAACACATATGGTACATACTTGGAAGGTCGATGGAGAGAAGCGCACGCTACTCCGCTTCCAAACGGATGACCCCCATCAAGGTAGGTGGTCGTGATCCCCCTCGTGACCGCTCGCGACTCACTTTGACACTACGTCACCCCCCCCCACTCCCCACTCAAAGGTCGGAGGAGACAAGCGCACGCTACTTCGCTTCCACCCACGAATGGCGCCCATCAAGGTGGCGGTGTTCCCCCTGGTGAAGAATAAGCCTGAGCTTATGGAGAAGGCCAGGGGCATCTACGAGACCATCCGGCTGAGACACAACGCCTTCTGGGATGTCTCCGGGGCCATCGGTGAGAGCGAGACATAAAAAAACAAGGGACGTATTGTAAGGACACCAAGATATGGTGTAAACACCACTGTTCAAGCAGGCCTTGCGGACTAGACAAGAGGAGAGTACCAAGAAATAGCGTAACACTACCGCAACATTTTCCGAGAATGTTGGATATGCAAGTGTTCAAAACAGGCTATGAGGATGGTGAATGACACGATGGAGAGCTGCTGCTCTCACGGGGTATTGACACAACGGCCCCTCCCTACGCGTGTAATCCTCATAGCACACGTGTCAACTCTTAAAATAACAGTTGTGTGGGATGCTGTCACGTGTTAATAGCTCATCACTTTGTTTTGTATTGTGCTGTTTTGTTCGCACGCAGGTCGAAGGTACCGCCGAATGGACGAGGCCGGAACTCCCTTTTGCGTTACAGTCGACTTCGAAACGCTCGAGGGAGACGGAACCGTAACCGTCAGAGAGAGGGACAGCACCGAGCAGACGAGGGTGCCGGCCGACGAGTTGCTCGGATTCTTGTCCAAGGCGATAAACGGTTACTAAATTACGTTTAGTCGACACAGTGTCGCCAGCGAGCCTCGTGTCCGAACAACTGGTTGACACGTTGGTCGTGTATCTTGTTGGTGCTGTGTATTGTACGTACATTAGGGGTACCAACTAGCGTTGGAGTGTGTAGTCGCCGCGGTGAGATTTTTTTTTTTTCTCTCTAAGGGTGGATTACCGAGTTCGAGGTATCGTAGACCGATACCCAACCATCGCGCCTTGTTCAGGCAGCATTGCGGAGTTAATATCCACGAACACAAGCACGTGAAATTTGATTTTTCAACAGGACCTTTTTGGTTGAACCCTTGGAAAGCCCGCCCGCCCCCCACGTGATCGGAAGGAACGATTGACCATCGGTGATCGGTCCTGTGGGAACAACGCTCCGTCCGCTCGGGGACACGTGGTCAATGCTCTAACCGCTAAGGCATGAAAAACAAAAGAGCGCCCCCCCCCCAGCGTGAGGGTGACGCAGTAACCCCCCCCCAACCATACGAACACACCTTCCGGCTTTCGTGTTCTTGTCCGACGGCCCCCTTCTCCCTGCATCTCGGGTTTTGCTCATCATGTCCTCACACCGCACGTCGCTCGTTCGCAGCAATTATCATTACGCTGGGATTGTCCCGTAGCCACACGTACGTGAAAACGACAAACCTGAAACGGGCCCAACATGGGCCACCGCCGACGCCCGCCCCCACTTTTTCGTAAGAAAATCAACACCCCACAAAACAACCTATGCATCCGTTGTCGCGATGTTTGCAAGCGCGTGCCGCAGAAAAACTCCCCGTGACGCCTCTTAAACAACTACAACTTGCTCCTTGTTAGCGCCTTCCATCGATGGAGAAGAGCGCTTCCGTACGTTGTTATTTTTTAACCCTCGCGCTCCGCCTTGCACTTCGCGAAGCATGCCGAGTCGAGCAGCGTGCAGTCGGCACAGTTCCACGGGTGCGGCTTGTTGCGGATCTTCATGTACGACGGCTGCGGGATTTTGGTTTCCGAACGGCAACAACATCCAGACGTGAAAAGAACAAGAAAAGAATTGACAGACAAGCGCAGACGTGAAAACACCGTAGAGAGGGGGAACGACCAACGGTGTGTAAACAAATGAGGGCATGGTGTCGGCTTGATTGATGGTGCGTCAGTGGCTTAAAAAAAACACAGGGTGTGCACGGATGAGGAATGATGATGTCATCGTGAGAATATCTGCTCATGTTGGCATGAGGATTGACGCCAGAACATGCTCTTTTAGGTTAAATTCATCCAGCGCGTAGATTTTCGTGCCTACGCGCACGAGGCCCAAGCACACAATTGCTATCCCAGGCCAAAGAAAAGTGCGAGGAACAAACCGCTGTATCCCCTTCAATGCGTCCAGAAACACCACTAACAGAAGCTGACGGGAGGTTCACTGAAGACAGCCAGAAAATGCAGTGTTTTCTCGACATTCACCCGCGCAAGCCATCGCAAGACTCGCTTACAAGAGACATGCGGCCTGATGTACTGGTTTCACCAAAGAGGAGTGACACGCAAGACTCACCCCAAAAAGTGACAAGGGGGGTATGCATAGATAAGAGGGGCATATTCGTGTGTGCAAGCCTCCCCTATCAAACTTCGTTTTTGGTCTTGTGTCGCCAAGGTATAGCCGTGACCTGTGCCACTATATCACGAACACAAGAGAAAAATTCCTGCAATAAAGCAAAATACCAGGGATATTCACGGTGCGGTTTTTCTCGACGGTGCGGTGCGGTGGGGTGCGAAACCGCACCGCACCGTGGTACGACAAAACCGCACCGCACCGCACCCTCATATTTCGAGATGAAAAAAAACGCACCGCACCGCACCGTACGGATTCACAAATCACCGTAGTTGCGGTTTTATTACGGTGCGGTTTGCCCCACCCCGTAGCCAAAACCGCAGTACACCGTGATAAAAACCGCAGTAAACTGCGGTACAAACCGTAGGTTGTTGTTGTTGTTGTCTTCACATTAAAAACCATCCCGGTCTCTCTATCCAGGTAGGTAAGGCACGGTTTTGTCGTGCAGACACACACACCAGGAACATTGAACGTTGATCTTTTTCTTTTTTTTGAACCAGCACGCACGCAACACCGTGTCCCCACACACACAACGCCACTGCAATACGCTCCGTGCACAACTCCGCCCATCTCTGACGGAGTCACCCCCCGCCGATGGCGACCAGCCTCTTGCAGAGGTGGTCGCCACGCGTCCATCTCCGTCTCCCGGTGGTTCTACCACTGCTCTGCTGGTGCTGCTGATGTTGCGCAAACTGGGGGCACCCCGAAGACAGTTCGCAGCGTGCAACGCACCGCCGTCAACGCATTCGCGGGTTGTAGTCGGTGGCGGGCATGAGCCGCCTGCCTGGTGGTGCTGCCAGATTTTTTCTCCATTTTTATTGGTATTTTCGAATAATCGCATATGTATTCCAACAGCAACAGTAGTAGTAGAAGCAAGTGAGGAATGTAGCTCGTGTCGTAGTAACGTATGGTGACTGGGAAAATGAAGTAAATTATCAGTAGCTTCTCCTTTGTCTGAGGTTTTCGTTTTTTTTCTGACCGCAAGCCGCGGGATCTGTCGTCCCGGCCTCATTTCAATGGACCAAACCCGACGTATTCCACGAAAAAAAAAAAATCATGGAGACCCCGTCATTTTGGCACGGACAAATGCAGTATTCTTCGCGGTGTTCTTCGACGGTGCGGCCGCGGTTAGCGCGGTTTTTGTCACGGGGTAGAACAAAACGCACCGTCAAAGAATCCGTGCGACGGTGAACCGCACCGCACCGCACCGCACCGCACCGTGATATGACGAAACCGCACCACGGTGCGGTTTCACACCGTGCACACTCATGCAAAATACTTCCCAGAAAGTACCGAAACAAAAAACAATATTTTCGTATCTCATAACCATTAAAGAGCGTAACAACTTCCGTGTCCGGATGGAAGCTCAGTCTTGCACCCTTAAGTAGCGCACCATGAGAGCTCAGCCTTGCGCTCCTGCGTAGCACACCCACAAGCCAAAGGAGAAAAACAAAAGTGAGGTTTTCTTACCAACGGGGCATCTTCGTCCCTGTGGTGGTGCTCTTCAGTGGCCAGCACCACGGTGGTTACGGCCAAGCTCAAAACCCCCATACCGGCCGTCATCTTTTTCCACTTGGCCATCTCCTCTGTTTCGGCACGCACGCAACGCCGCAGGGTTCGAAAAATATGCCAGAGAAGGGGGGGCATTGGTTGCTTGGATTATCGGCTGATGACGCGTGCTTTCAGTTCCTGCTTCTAGCAACACAGGGGAGAAACTCGATTTCCATTCGGGTGCTATTTGGCGGCATCGTCGTTGAGGGTTTCCCCCCGCAAGGATCTTGAACAACTTTCTAATTTCTAGCCCTTGCAGTCTGACATACAAAAAACTTTGCGCGGGGGCATAGGAGGGAAGGGGGTACATAGGCGGGAGCAAGGTAGACCGTGAATATGGCTTTTTTTACTCATCTTCCGCATGAGCCGCATAAATGCTCGATACGTCGGGTGCGGTTTTCATTACTGCCGTTACCCGACTTGCGCAAGTTTTAGCTTGTATTCATGGCCAAGCGTGACAGCGGGCCTGCATAGAGGAGGAAGCTGTGTGTTAGCTTTTCGCTCGAGATTGAAGGCTCGTGTAGTGGTGAAGGGGTCAAGCGCCCGACCTTACTTACCCGCATCGGCGTCGACATACCCGCCTCACCGCCACGCTACCACCCCCAACAGCAAGAACAACTTCTACAGCAGAACTAAAGAGACAACAGCACAAACACCAACCATACCACCACACCAACGACAATAGAGTCCACGTTCCATTCCAAGCGGTGCTTGCTCATCGGCTCACCGGCTGCGTGCGCGGCGTCGCCGCTCATGCTGCGACGGGCCGAAGAAGCCGCCGCCGCCGCCGGCCGCCGTACCGCCGCCCTCACAAGCGCAGAAACCTGGCACGAGTCGGACAGAATTCATAAGCACGAGAGGGAGGCCCAGGGGTGTATTCATAGTCGTGCATGCCGTAGTCGTTAGACCATTGACCTCACGTCCCTACAAAGCCGGGACGGAGCACGCCGGGTTCTCACCGGACCAGGCTCTCGCATCACCAAGCGCGAAGCGCCGTGAGATATTCGGCGAGTCGCATGAAGGGTGCGCTGCATCCTGCTGAGGGTGTTCGGCCACTTGTGCCTACTTCCTTGCGTACGGATGACAGCTGCGTATGACTAAACGTATTTTCGGGTGCGTTCACTTCCAGAGACAGTAAAAAGCACTATGTGACTGCCTCGAGGGTGCTTGACCATTTCAACACAACGTGGTGCGATCATCCCCCTTGCGCGGAGTGAGGGTTCTCGACCCCGCACAACATGATCTACTCGACCACCATTATGGTTACCGCCAAAAAAAAAAACGGAGGTAAAAAAAAAAAAACGGTAACCTGGTTGCCGAGTTCACGAAGTGAATCGGCTTGTTTTACAACGTCGTTGTCAAGCGACGAAAACCCAATCCCGATGGCAAACACCGGGGGGGACGGGGCTTGTCTTACAACGTCGTTGCCAAGCGACGAAACCCAACCCTGATGGCAAACACCGGGGGAGGCTCAGGGGTAAAATAAAAATGGTGTGTCCGGAAGTAACAGGGGGCATGGGGTGCGCTGTTGCTTGCGGAAGATGTCACACGACAACGGGGCAAGAAACCGTCGCTACAAATAAAAAATGACGGCGGCAGCGGCAAGCAGTACATCTTTGTATCACGCCCAAATGAGACAATGTATTCGTGGCAATTTATTTCCCCGGCGGCAGAGGCGTTGGTGTAAAGGCCACACGATAGAATGTTGGAATACCCCCAACAGCTTGACAGTGCGCTTCCAACTCCGTCAAGAGAACTGTCGAACATGTGTTCGAAGCGGAGGAATCGAGAGAGCCAAGACAGACAAGACACACATGGAAGAGGGAGAGGGGGTGTGGGGGGGGGGGCTTGCGCGGCACTACAGTGAAGGAGGACTGCGCTCGCCCGGTTTCCCAAGCTCGTGTTTCCCACAACAAAGAGCTTGTGATACTAACACGCCTTCGTAAATATCTCGACTGCGTGTCTACGACAACCCTTGGGTGGGGTGCCCCGTATTACATACCACATGCTCACCATTCCCCATTCAACAATCAGTGCAAGCGCCCAGCAGTATTCGCCCGACGACCACGACTCGAGCAGGATCTCTGCACTCAACAAGTACGACCGTCCCTCAATCCTCTCTGAACGGGCATTGTTGCCACCACCGGTTGAAGAGCGCTAACACGGTGTCTGTTGTCGGCGACGTTGAAACAAAAAGTCACCTCCTGAGCAGCACTGCTGCAGCGTCTGTACGCCGCTTGAGAGCCCAGCACAGCATGGCTGCTGAGCAGCAGGAGGCTTCTATGCCGTTGTGCTTATGACCCACTTTGTTGGTAAAGGACTTACGGTTGCTATACTACGCGAAACCGGGTAACACTGAATGCTTGCACAACTACGGGGGCAGTGTGTTCTGTGCTTCTCATGTGTTGGGAGCTATCTGTGATCAAGTGACTGGCCATCGGGTTGGCATGCGTGGTATGTGGGTAGGTTGCACCGCTTGTATGCGACCCCCCCCGTTCTCGCAGTGGGAAGACCTGAACTGGAAAAGCGGCTTGAGATATCTGTGCACGTGTCTCGACCGCCTACACATGCTCGAGCCGGTCCTTTGACTATCCCCGGAGAGGCGAGGTGGGAAAGGAGAGTTGCAACAGCGTCACACCACGCTTCGGCGGTTGCGGTGCGTATGCTAATTCGGGTTTGACGGGAGGCGCGGCCCAGCAGCAACGACACGATGAAAGCACACACCAAACACACCCACACACGAGCCGCAAAGCTTGAGTACATGTCTCACCATGATGATTGCGAAACACGAGTAGAACCTCTTCCTCTCGCCCTTTCGCTCGCTATCTGCCTTGCGTCAGTGTTGCAGCAATGTCCTCGTGAACACCTGTCTCCTCTCCGGCTGTTGTCCTGAACAGGGGGCGCCCCGTGAAATGGGAAAGGCCTGGGGAGCGTCTAGGCCTGGGGCGTTGTAGGATGTGGTCGGAGGCGTTCTGTCTTTTCCGTGAAACGGCATGAAACCGCCGATTACTTTCATCTTTCGTCATTTTGGCAGTTTTTTTCAGGAGATGTATCCGGCAAGCAAGCGTGTGGATGTGGCGAATAAACACACAGCTGCCCCCTCACGGGGTCCTAGTTCATGGCAGATAGAAGTGTTTGTGCTTTCAACCGCACTGAGACTGACGTATTTTCATTAGTCAGCCGGTTAGCGCTGTCGATGCTAATACTGTAAAAAAACACACAGAGATCTTGGCCTTCAGTCTGTTAGGCTGGGCCCTCTCCGTTTTTAGCAGCGTGATGTCGGAGTCTAACGTTGGTCAACCGGTTGGCACGGTCGATGCTACTGCAGAATAGAGACGCGCGCACCCGGCACGAGCCCCAAAGTTCCTGCTGCCAATCTTGACGAATTAATTCCCTTGAGGATTGTCTCCGTGTGATGAAGTAGTCTGGACTAGACTATGCATGCCATGTTTTTTTGTTTGTTTGTTTTCCTCCCATCATTGGACTCTGTCGTCTGCCCCTCTGGCCCCTATCCTCTACTTCTTCCAGCTAGACGATCCAACCGGGGTCATATAGGAGGGGAGGGGTTGGACCCCTCCTGTGGTTCCTGCCTGAGATATTTTTATCGCGAGAAGGGTACAGCAATACTTTCCCTAGCGACTGAAGAAGTCGATTAGCTAGGTTTACTCACAACGAGCTTTGCAGCGCGTCGCTTCCAACGGAGACCAGGATTAAATTAGCGAGAAAAAACTCACTCCGTCGGGACTCGAACCCATGACCTGGCCCTTAGCAGGCTACGAGGCTACCCACTGGACCACCGGGGCGACCGGCTCATGTGTGTTTTCTTGAAGCTGACATCATGTATCGCCGCTTGTGAAATATATAAAAAAAAAAAAAAAAAAAAAAAAAA